AGAAAAACTACAAAAGCACAATAAAAATATTGGAATGGTCAGTAATGATCTCATTCCAATTCGATCGAGTATTACAAGCATAAACCACAAAAGCACAATAAAAATATTGGAATGGTCAATAATAACCTCATCCCAATTAGATCGAGCATTACAAGCAAAAACCACAAAAGCACAATAAAAATATTGGAATGGTCAATAATGACTCCATCCTAATTAGATCGAGCATTACAAGCAAAAACTACAAAAGCACAATGAAAATATTGGAACGGTCAATAATGACCCCATTCCAATTCGATCGAGTATTACAAGCAAAATCATGAAAGCACAATGAAAATCTTGTAATGGTCAATAATGACTTCATCCCAATTAGATCGAGCATTACACAAAACTACAAAAAATATTAGAATGGTGCCCTATTTCGGAACTTTAGAAAAGTGATTTAAGTAAATTTAATAATAATTATACACATAGCAGAAATCATAAATTGTACCTCCGTATAGCTTTCTAATACTTCGATGTCAACAGGCAGATTATTTTAATATCTATTGTCGAAAAACGATTTTTCTATGAATAAATGAAAGAAAAGAATGACCCATTGAGCACACGTTCTTGACCGGCCTATAAGTCATAAAATCTGAATATAAAGAAGAAATTAATCCAGGTTTATAAAGTTAAATATATAAACTACAAATAAAATTTTTACTACTTGATCCAATTTCGATGAAGAAAGAGTATAGTAACTAACTAAGACTAAGGATGGCTCACATAAGGCAATTAAAGATGTTTGGTGAAAAAAAAACAGATTCTTAAAAAAATATGGAATTGAACCACATATTATATTCAAATCAATAAATTAAATTAAAGTTACTTTCCTATTAACGTCTGCTTTTCCTCAAAAAAAAAAAAAAAAAAAGAAAAAACATTAGTAACAAAAAAATATAATACATTAATTCAAAATGAAAATCAAAATAAAGTTACTTTCCAGTTTATCAATTATTCTTTAACATTCTACGTTTGATTACAATATTGCAATATTGAGTAAAACCACCATATGACTATAAAAATTTTTACTGAGTGACCCGGCCTAACACCATTTTCTCAGATTCCAACGCCTATCTTCTTGATTGGCACCATTTTCTCGTAGTATGAGATATAATAAGTAAAATCTTTGACTTGGAAAATGGTTTGTTTTTTATATAATTATATCTTGTACTATGGGAAACGATACTAATCAAGAAGTACGGGTTTAGAAAAAGGGGTTATGTATGTTGGAAAAACATCACAAATCGGGATTCAGTTTACCTGTATAAATGTTTTTTTTTTATCTCAAAGAAATTTTACTTATTATATATTGTACTACAAGAAAATGGTACTAATCACGTTGAAAATGATACCAATCAAGAAGATATGAATTTAGAAAAAGGAGTCATGCATGTTGATAAAATTTAAATTTTGTAATAAGTAAAATTTCTTTATTGGCATTATTTTCCCATAGTATGAGATATAATAAGTAAATTTCTTTGAGATTATGTAAAAAAAAAAAACATTTACACAGATAAGCCGAATCCCAATTGGTGAGGTTTTTCCAAAGTGCGAGATTTGAAATTTTTATCTACATGCATGACTCCTTTCTAAACCCAGATTGTGTAAAAAAAAAACATTTATACAAAATAAGCCGAATCCCGATTGGTGAGGTTTTTCCAAAGTACGAGATTTGAAATTTTTTATCAACATGTATGACTCCTTTCTAACCCCATACCTTCTTGATTGGCGCCATTTTCCAGTAGTACAAGATATAATAAGTAAATTTCTTTGAGATTATGTAAAAAAAAACATTTACACAGATAAGCTGAATCCTGATTGGTGAGGTTTTTCGAAAGAGCGAGATTTGAAATTTTTATCAACATGCATGACTCCTTTCTAAACCCAGATTGTGTAAAAAAAAAAACATTTACACAAAATAAGCCGAATCCCGATTAGTGAGGTTTTTCCAAAGTACGAGATTTGAAATTTTTCATCAACATGCATAACCCCGTACCTTCTTGATTGGCGCCATTTTCCTATAGTACAAAATATAATAAGTAAATTTCTTTGAGATTATGTAAAAAAAAAAAAAATTTACACAGATAAGCCGAATTCCGATTGGTGAGGTTTTTCCAAAGTGCGAGATTTGAAATTTTTATCAACATGCATGACTTCTTTCTAAACCAGATTGTGTAAAAAAAAACATTTACACAAAATAAGCCAAATCCCAATTGGTGAGGTTTTTCCAAAGTACAAGATTTGAAAATTTTATCAACATGCATGACTCCTTTCTAAACCAGATTGTGTAAAAAAAAATCATTTACACAAAATAAGCTGAATCCCAATTGGTGAGGTTTTTCCAAAGTGCGAGGTTTAAAATGTTATCAACATGCATGACTCCTTTCTAAACCATTTTCCTGTAGTACAAAATATAATAAGTAAATTTCTAAGATTATGTAAAAAAAAAACATTTACTCAAATAAGCCGAATCCCGATTGGTAAGGTTTTTTCAAAGTGCGAGATTAATGTTATCAACATGCATGACTCCTTTCTAAACCCGTACCTTCTTGATTAGCACTATTTTCCCATAGTACGAGATATAATAAGTAAATTTCTTTGAGATTATGTAAAAAAAAAACATTTACACAGATAAGCTGAATCCCGATTGGTGAGGTTTTTCCAAAGTGCGAGATTTAAAATTTTTATCAACATGCATGTCTCCTTTCTAAACCAGATTGTGTAAAAAAAAACATTTACACAAAATAAGCCGAATCCCGATTGGTAAGGTTTTTCCAAAGTACAAGATTCGAAAATTTTTCATCAACATGTATAACTCCTTTCTAAACCCGTACCTTCTTGATTAGCGCCATTTTCCCATAGTATGAGACATAATAAGTAAATTTCTTTGAGATTATGTAAAAAATAACATTTACACAGATAAGCCGAATCCTGATTGGCGAGGTTTCCCATAGTACGAGATATAATATTTCTTTCCATTTTCCCGCAGTACGAGTAGGGATTGGAACCAGTTAACTGTTTAAAAATTGCTCTGTAGTTCTGGGCAGAATTATGTTGGTCATGGGCAGGAATTGTTTTAATGCCAGCCAAATTAAATGGTTAAGAAAAGATTTAGGCGGTTCCAATCCCTAAGTACGAGAAGTAAAGTTTTTTTCAAAATACGAGATTTGAAAATTAACCACACACCATCAAATATTTCAAGTCCAAATTAGTAAAAATTCCAAACCATCCTTTCAAGTTTATATTGCTAACACTAGCAGAAGTCTTTTACCATCCCTTTATAGTCAAGTCAAGTAATCCAAAAACTACTTAACTATTTATCGGTTAAACTTGGTTTCAATATCCGGTTCCAAACTCAAGTAATTAGTTAAAATATTATTGATCCGTAAACATAGTTTTTCAAAACTGTTACGTAGTTAGCTAAAGTAAAAATTTATATTAACTATTAGACATAACTAATTATTAGATATGTATTCAGCTGGCAAAAACATGTCAAATCCTTAATTAAAATTTCTTTATTTCAATAAACTTAAATTGTGTATATCAAAGACAGAAAAAGTAAATTCTTAGAAATTAGTCTTAAAATTGAGCTTAAATAATAAATTAAGATATTTTAGATTAAAATAACATCTAAAGATACTATTCGAAACGAAGAAATAATAACATATGATTAACTTAAATTAAAAATTTAAAACTCGAAACTTATTTTGTCAATGCAAAATTGATTAATTGGTTTAGAACATATAATTAACTTAAATTAAAATTTTGAACCTCAAAACTTATCTAGTTAATGTAAAATTAGTTTTCATAGAGTTCAAATAAATATTTTTTTAAAAAAACCAAAAGGTTTAATTTAAAGTTTTGTGCTATGCAAACCAAAACATTAAGATTGTGCAGCCTTAGTTAAACTATTTCTTATATTCGGAAACCAATAGATTAATGAACTCTTCATAGAGATTAAACTTTTTTTTTCTTTTGAAATTTGAATTATGTAGAAAGTGGTAGGTAACACTAGCTTTGTTTAATAAAGGATACCAAGTCTCTATCAGAATTTTTTGATCCTCTAATTTCAATATTAAATCAGTAATATGATCATAAACCTGTTTGCATCGACCAGCTTGAGTAGCAGATGTGTCGTCCGGGATTGAATTTGTTAGAATTGTCATTAAATCCTTTTTACACTTGTCATCATCTTTAAATTTCTTATTTATCAATATTTGCATAATCTTGTACGTTTGACTAATTAAGACACCTACAAAAGTCCATTCAGCATTATGCTTCATTTCCTCTGAAAATTTTTTTACTTCTTTAATATAAGCCAACCATTGTTTATGATCTGCTGAATTTGGTTGTTCGATACCAATGTTAATTGGAATCTTATCTGATTTTAGTCTTGAAATATAAGCTTGTAATTGAGCTTCTATGTATTCTTCATTACTTTTTCTCTTTGTCTTTGAGCCATCTTTTTCACATCCAAGTTTGTGTCACTGTCACTCATACTTAAAAATTGAAAAAAATTTTCAGACTTGTAAATAATGAATCAAATCCAATTCATTTTGAAATACTTACTTTAAAGGAATGAATTAAAGCTTAATTTCAATCAAATTTTTTAAATAAATTTATAAATTTAGGAGTAAATGAGAAAATTTCCACAGATCTTTGAATTTAATCTGAAATACGTATAATGATTATGTTGTGAAACTTATTCTGCATTGATCATGACCAAATTGTAAAGATTTTCAAACTAAATAAATGTTATGAAACTAAGTTTTAACATAAAAATTCGACCAAGATTATCAAATATTGGCCGGAATTATAAAAATTTAATGTTATATAATAAATACAAATTTAACTTTACGTTAATATTAGCTTTATAAATTAAAAGCCAATTTACAAAATATCAGATATTCAAATTATTCATTGCCATAAATTCTATTTACAAGAAAACCAATCCAATTTGAATAAATTGAAACTATTTAATACAACACTAACCTATCATAATCTGGATGTCCGAACCCATGACCTCCAGCCATTATTTCAGCAAAAAAACCCTTTACATCCTTTATAATTTCTATTGCGACCATTTGAAGCATATACAAAAGTACAGGTTGATTGCCAAAAGCTCTATGCACAATTGGTTTATAAGGTTCAGTATACAAATATGAATGATTCGAATGTTTCCACTTATTGATACTATAAAAATAGATAAAAATCAGTTCGAACTTCTATGAAACAGGCAGGAGAAAACCAAAAATATATATATGACCAGATTATTAAAATTATTATAACCTGAATAATTAATAACAAAATAAGAATATTTTGGCAAGTAAAAAATTTCGCTGTAAATTTCTTTTGTACTGTCATTTCAATTATCATTAATTAACAATAAAATTATGCTTTATATATTTTTATCGCAATTGAGTAACAGATCTGCATTTATATTATAAATATATAAACTTTATTATAGAAATCATAAGTTTTAATATAAAATATGAATTAATTATCTCTTTATCTCCTTTATTTGAACAAGTTCATTACGATGAAACAAAGTTTTTTGAGAACATACACTTGGGTTTATATTAGTATATTTTAATGAGTACAGATTAACACTATATATTCTTTATCCTAAGATGCAGTATCATACATAACTCGGAGTTTCATTTGATGCTTTGTAAAAATAATGTAATACGAATAACAGTGGCGAAGGCAATATAAATAATTTTTAGGTCAAATATTATTAGGGTTGAATCAATTATCGAACGCCTTTTGCAATTTGGAAAGAATTACATCTAATATGTTTTAACGCACGTTTAATTATAACAGATCAGCAATCTGTATGTCGTGAAAAACATGCTTTGTAAAATAGGTAATACAAATAACCGCAGCAAAGATAGATAGCATAAATTAAAACAAAATTGTTTTAATTATTTCCTAGTTCATTTACGAAAAATATATTAAAAGAATCATGTAAAATCTAGTTTTCAGAATTGAATAAATTACAATTACAAAATGCCAAGTAAAAACATTTTAAAGCTCTTAGCATCATTGCTAAGAATTGCTACTTATTTTATTTTTCTATTGTTGATTTTATTGAAAATTGCTTTTACAATTTTCCTGGCTCTAATATTATTGACTTCTTTGATTACTGCTGCTTTGATTTTCGCATCTTCGATTTTAAAATTGAATATGATTCTGATTTTATCTTTCTTGTTGTTCCCTGGTCTCATTGTCGGGTTTTCCGTATTATTTAAAAGAACTATCAACAAATCTGAATCCACTTGCTCAGATAAAAGTCGACCCACAAATAGAGATTTTTATAAAAACACAGATGATAGTAGACGTTCATCGGAACAAAAATTTATTTTTGTTAAGAATATTTTCAAACTTCATTTATCGGCATTCTATAGAAACAAAATCTTTTTTAATTCTAAATTAATACCTCTTTCTTACTTCAATAATAAGATTTCTTCATTTTTATCTAAAATAAAAAAAGTTTTAGCTAATTTAAATTTAAAAATCGTGAAAAAATCTTTTTACCTTGCAATATTCTTAATGCTCTTATTTTATATCATATACTTTTCCTGTCCTGATATTACATCCACCATTGTATTCGGAACATTTTCCAGAAGGGAAGATTCCATTTCATTGCATCAACAATAAAAAAAATTCTATTATTATATTTAATGTTCAAATTTAATCCTATAAAGTACAAAATCAATAAATCATTATTTAATCACCACGATAAATTTAAATCAGAAAAGTTCAAACCCATCCGCATCCGATCAATTTAATACCATTACTGCACTGAAAAATAATTTTAATTATAAAATAAGAACAATTAATACCTTATCTCAATCTCTCGATTTTGAAGTCATCAAAATAATAGAAAGTTTGCTCTCTATTCATTGTAATCAATTTTATAAAGTGCCATCTCCTAAAAAAACTTATAATAGGTTTGCATTTCCATGGTTACTCTGCTTCAGATATCGAAATTGAATATTCCAACTATTTATATTCCATACAAACAATATCAACCCTCAATTCTGAAGATTATAAAACTCCAATTGGGAATCATGTATCAAAACAAAATTATTCTTCGGCTATAGAAAATATTGATTCATATTCCTTACGAACTACAAATATAAATGACATATTTGGTCTATTTTATAGAACCACTTCTAGAATAATTGATTCTGTAAAAGATTACGAATCAGAACATGAAGATGTTCGTCATTCAGAAGAAGAAATTCAAAATTCAAAAAAAAATCTCAAATCTATGTTTGAAGATATTTATAAAAATATTCATCATTTAGAAAAAAATATCAAATCTCTAAGTGAAGATTGTCATCAATTAGAAAATTATTTGTCCAACAAAAACACAAAATTATATGTCGACATTCGTGATTTTCTAAAAGAATTAAAAAAATTTGATAATTTTTATTTATTTGGAGATATCCATTGTATTGGTGGTGTTCGTGCTTAAATTATTAAGACAACTTTTTATTTTAGTCCTCAAAATTAATGACTAAATCTGTATTTTTAAATCAAATTGGTTAAGTAATTGGCTTAATACTATTCGGCTTTGTTTAACTTGAGAGACATGCACTTATTTTTATCTCTGCCCTTTTGTTGAAGAGCAAAATAGTTAAGATCTAATAGAAAGTCAAACGAGCTAATCATTTATCTAGCATAGAGGTTTATAGCTAAAATCACAATCAATAAGTGGTTTTTTTTTTTTAAAGTGTTTACTTTTAATTTATTATAAGTAGTAACGTTCTTTTCTTTAGAATGTTTCGCATGAGGTTTTGCTATAAATGACTTGCTAAATGGGCCATTTATAGTAAAAGCCCGGATATTTGTAGCACGAGACTGGTTTAGATGACAAAGCTTCGATCGATTTTTCAATGATGAAAATTCTTTGGTTTGAGATGACAGGAGCTGATGGTCTTTGATAAGTTCATGAAATTTTTTCATTTGTCAGAATTGCTGGTGAAATTTTCCATAGCAATTCTCTCTTGAGTTATTCAACATTAAGCACTAGTTTTAAGCCATTATTTAGCCAATTTTTATTTATTTATTTATTTATTATTATTCGAATTAAATCATTCATGTTTTATCAATTTTTATTTGAAAGAAATTTTCTTCATTTTTATTGCAACAATTCCATTTCAAAATTTTTCAATGAAATTATGTATATATTTATAATAAAATTAAACAATAAAATTGCAGATTTCATTTTCTAGTTCCAGTAAATGATGGCGAAATGTTGCAGCATCGTTTATACCTAACTTTCGTAGGAAAATACAGGAATCTGTTTTTGGGTTGAAAATTATTATTAGAATACTTGCGTCATCATTATTAACTAACAAAGAACATGGCCGGAATAGTCAACGGTTA